TTTTTTCTCTGTAAAGGTTGTGTTTGCTACACCTGGTATGCTACATGCTGGATTGTCATTGCAGATCTTCAAGAAGTGGGCTGCAGATGAGAAGAACATGGTATGGTTGTTGTTGTAAATCAAATTTCTTGAGTTTGTAGAATATTACTCTATGCATGCAGTTCTGACTGAGTCATATTTTTCTGTGTGATGTGATGTAGGTTGTAATTCCTGGTTACTGTGTTGCTGGGACTGTAGGCCATAAGGTGCTATCAGGACAGAAGAAAATTGAACTGGACAAGAAAAGTATTGTAAGCATGCATACTTACACAAAAAGTATCATATTGAGTGACTCAGACTTACATGCTGATGAAATGACTCTGAAAACAAACAAACTGTGTTTATTATGCACTTCTGGTACTTTGTATTGTTATTGTAAATTTTGTTTTCCCTGCAGTCGGAGTTATAGTGATTATATTGAGAAAAGGGCAAATGTTTAAAACATCAGCTTAGAAAATTCTTTACAGTAGTAAATTGCCAAACCAAGGTGATAAAACTAAATTTTTTACTCCCCACCAATTCAGCACCACAGTTTCTTTTATTAGAAACGTATCCCTTTATTAATTCACTGAAGACAGTTTGGTTGTCAGGGAGTATCTGACTTCCAACAATTGAATTCAGCTGTACCACAGGGAAGTGAACAACTTTAATTATCAATGCTTCCAATAGTATAATTTTATTATTTTTTTGGTAGATTGATGTGAAACTTTCAGTTCAGTACATGTCCTTCAGTGCACATGCTGATGCCAAAGGAATAATGCAACTCATTCGCCAGGTTTGTCTCATCAATTAAGTTGGACAGTTTGTAGTACTTTTTGGCTGCAATCAGTATGTACATGAGAAGATTTTAATTTTCCGTAGTCTTTTTCATTGTTTGTCAGCCAAGTAGGTGGCTTTTCAATATGGCAATGGATTCATCCTTGTCACTCCCCTACCTAAATCTTGCAGCATCTTGTCCTGTTTATCTTAGATGTATGATAGACAAAAGAAGGTGGCATCCCAATGAAACTTTTGCATAACTTTTGCCTCTAGAAGCAATGCTTGAAAAAGGGAAAATGATGGTATCAAGTTTTCTTACATTCTAACTTTTTTTTTGCCCAGGCTGAACCTAAGAATGTTGTTTTGGTTCACGGAGAAGCAGGCAAAATGGATTTTCTAAAGCAGCAAATAGAGAAAGAATTTGGTAAGTTGAAAAAACCATTTCATCAGAAATGGACCATTAACTTGAAAATGATGATGGACAGAATAATGTGTTTATAAATCACAGCCTGCAGTATGTGTGAAAAACAATAGGTGCATGATTTCAATTTGCACTTTATTTGCAGCCTTTTGGCTTTCAAAGTGTAATACAATGTACATGTTAATTGTCAAATTTATTGCTGCATCTCCTTATCATTCCTATGGTTTAACCATAGCCTCCATGCTCAGTTCCTCACTTCATGTGGGTATGACTTCTGATAGGAATTCAACTTTCTGGATTATGAATAAGCTTTTTAACCTTATTTGATAGGAATTGGATGCTTCAAACCAGCAAATGGGGAAACAGTGTGTATGGAGACTATTCCCACTATTGCAGTTGATATGTCACTAGCTCTGCTCAAGAGAAAAGTTATGTCTCTAGAAAAGAAAGGTGAGTGATTGATAAAAGAGATTAGTCACTTAGACAAAAGGAAAGGTTCAGATGGAGGCAGTGGTCTGGGTTCAAGTGTAAGCTGTGATTTTCTTTCTCATTCATTGTAGGTTGTTTGTGAAAGTGTGTGATTCTTTGTGTTTGTGTCTGTGCGTGTGCGTGCGTGCTTGTGCGTGTTCACGTACGCTTGCGCATGTGGCCGAGTGAAGGGCGACCATCGATGAACAGCCATAACATTTAGAAGCAAAAACAACTGAAGTCAGCCATTTACCTAGATTTTACATCTGAGTACTACTTGAAATGAGAAGGACAATTTGTTGCAAGACTTAACAATAGAGAGACAGAGTCTAGTGTGAAGCTGTGAAGAAAGAACTGAGAAAATTAAAATCCTAAATAATTAGTTGCGTGCAAAGTAAATTCCCTTTTTCGTTCCAAACGTTCAGTTTACCGATAGTGTCAAGCTGGTGTTAGACTGCTTTAGATCGTAACCACAACGACAGAAAGTTGGCTTCTGGGTTAAACGGTTGATTTTCTGGAATGATCATTATGTAAGTTGTCGTGGTAATAACAGCAGATTTTCACTGTCGATGGTGCTGAGAATGGAAGAATTAATCACTGAGGATTAATTTTAGTCATGATGAGATGACAAATTTTTGACATGTAGCGGAATTTACCATCATTTATGTGCACAAAACAGCCATGAATGGTGTTTAGCTGTTTTATTCACCAAAAGTATCTCCGTCCCTTTACTTTTTTTATGGATTACGTTACTGAAATCTTGAGTCAGCTGTACTAGTTATGATTTTTTTGCGTTTCTAAACGTCATCTTCACATTATATACATTATGTTGTTATTTTCAGATGCCAAACGAGCCAAGCTCTCTCCACATAATAATCATTTACCCGTGCAAGGAGTGTTAGTTATCAAAGACACGGTTGGTTATTCTGCTGTTTCTCCTCATTAAGCTGTGCTGTCTGTGCAGTTGTTTTGTTCTAAAGGAGGCTGACTCTGACGGTCAACTATCGTTAAATGCATTGGTGTTGCAATTTAGGTGGGGAGCTCCCTGACAGCGAAGTCCTTTTTTTAGTTCAAACTTAATAACAATAAATTAATAAGATGTTTCCTACTTATCAATATTGCTTTTCCTATTGCTCGATATGATTGGTATGCAGTTGAACGTTGTACATTTTCAGATCCAAGAGAGCTAACAAAAAAAATTCAACAAAGAAATCGGTCGAACTCCATAACTTCTACATTTTATGAACAGTAAGCTGTGTCAGCCTATTGTAGTCTTGGGATCTTAGCTGCCTTTCCCTTCTCTTCGCTGTCTTGGTAGTCTGTTAGATTAGTGGAACCCGCTCAAGCCATGAAGGAACTGGGACTGACTGAACACAAGCTTCGTTTTACATCATCGGTCATTTTAGAGACCACAGTACCATATCACGTGTTTATAGAAAAGTTGCAGTCTCAACTAGAGAGGTAAGTTGTGTTGGACATATTCTGCCCACCATTAATAACCATAAGGAGATATGTTGAGCATTCTTTAGCCTATCCGAGTTGTATTTCTCCTGAAACCTTTTGCGGTGGCTTGAACTGTTTCAGTATTGTATGTTTTCTAATTGGAAGTCATGTGAACACAATAAAAGCTAAACAGTTTGAGTGTAGAGTTTGTGTACTACTTTGTTAGCTCTTCGATTTCTTTCACAATATCACTACCGTTCCAAGGATCACTCAACTAATCACATTAGAGAAAACAATCATTTGTGCCAATCAGTGCTTAAGAACAAGGCAGGTAAAAGTGGCATTTAATGTTAAAATGACTTTTAGAAAAGTAAAAGCAAAAGAATTTAGGTTACACTGCGATTCACAGCTCGTTTCCTTTACTCGCACCGGTCAGTTTTGCCTCAGTGCACCCTGGTTGATTAAGTAATTTTCTTTTTTTTTTTTTTTTTAATCGGTGGATGTTTTTAAAATTGAAGACTTCTTCCAAATTACCCGGTCCAGCGAGTGGCGGAAGGATGTTTATCAGTGGACGACTCTGTTCTTATCAAGGTTAGTTTTAGCCCTCTTCTGTTTTTTCTTTGTCTGTTGTTTTTTTGTCCTTCTTTTTCTTAACAGCTGTATGCGCCAGTCCTCAAACTGATCTGTCAGGTATATTATACTCGAGATAAAGAACCGCTCAGAAATGGTAATGACAATGATAATAACAATAGCAATGGCAATGGCGATGCCATAGCTCACTGAAACGATCGGCTTCATGTCGTTGGTGAAAATAGACTTAGTTTTTTACAGTGTCTCTTTTAGGAAGTGACTGAAAACGTTTGGCCAGATGTAAGCTATCTTCAGCATCATTAATGTGATACTTCTGTCTATTTATCCTCCCTTTCGAATTTTCGCTCTTTCTGCGTCAAGCTCGCTCAGTGATTGACTTTAAGTCGTGTGCATTACAGATATCACCAAGTAGTGATGACGTCACTCACGAGGCTTCCAGCTGTACAGCTTTGGTTTCATGGACGTTACAGGTGATGAGAACGTTTTTATTAACTGTCTGGTCTCTTTTCTCTTTTCTGTAATACCGATGTAGTCATTTTATCGCGTTCATTCCTAGGAAGAGGAGTTAGGAAGTCACGTGCTGTCGTTGCTACGTGACAGAATAATCCGACCTGTGGTCTCACTTGATGAGTCTAGCGTGTGAACAGAACACTGCATCCCACTGATAGACTCAGTGCACATGATGTATATAATGCAGCCGTTTGGACGCAGCCACCTACAGTGCTAGTGCTGCTCTGTACCACATGAATGCGTAATCAACAGGAAAGTTACTGATGTTCTCACTATGGCGAGCGAACGACTCAACGAGGTTGACCTACGCTTCCGCGAGAGCTCGTACGACTTGTAAACATGACAACTAACTAAACACTTTCTCTTTCTTTAAATAAACACCACCTGAAGAAAGTGACTGAAACTTCTAGTTTAATCGTATCACTGCACAATTCAAAATTTTAGTTTGTTGTAACCTCGCCCAAATAAAAGGATGGGTGTTATTTCTTGTTTCTTACTGCTACCTGTTAAACATTGGCTGAGACAAATATGATAAACCTGATAAGCGTACTAAACAAGGAGGTTATGAGATTGAGATTGCAATGGGAAAGCTCTCCTACGTACTTTTACAGAAATTTTGACTTGTTACCTTTTTATACTTCTATGATAGGTAAATACTCAGAAGGTACAAAATTCCAAAAGAAGAATCTAGCAAAGCAACTTTTTGTGGTAAAGTGAAATGCTCCCCTTCAAAACATGCTACACTTAAATTAAAGGCAAAGGGCAGAGTGAGCAGAGCTATTCCGAAATACGGCGAGGTAATTGCAGCTTGTAAACCTACAACTACATATGGGAACAACAAGAATAAAGTGTGAAGATAACATGCATGCTGTGGCCCCAAAAGTACTGCCAGTGTCCTGTGGCCAGCCCTGATGTCTGTCTTGATATCACGTGTGTTTTGACTAGAGGGAAATAAAACAAACGTTAAACGTCGCAGTGCATGTATAGAAACAATTTTTGACCCTTCACTCGTTTTTACTCGACATCTAACCCAGAGGAGCAGGGACTCTGGGAGCATGAATCAATAATAAATTACCCGGACTCGCTCCTTTAGTCCCATTTTTTCACGAATATTAATTAGTCACATCCGAAATCCGTAACAACTTTTTCCCATCAAACAAAGCAGATGAAGTGATGCTCTTACATTATAGAACTAGCGACGCGCAGATTCTATAGTAGCTTGAAACGAACGGACTTACGTCGGCATTTTAGGTGTTGGTGAAACGTTTTCGTAAATACTTTGGCAAATATTGACAATGATGTGCAATGATTTGAGATTGTCCTTTAATTTTTTCGTAATATTAATTGAATAGATACGTGTTCAGTATTATTTTTGGCTCTCTGATATTCATAATTTTGATTATCCAGACTGTCCAGCCTAGTCTCCACAGGTCTGCATAATCAAGGTTCGGACTGTCTTGCTAGCGTTTTCTTTCTTTCCTTTTTTTTTTTTTTTTTTTTTTTTTTTTTTTTGAAAATATTAAGGTTTTAAAATACGGCAATTTAATTTCGTTTTATAATTCAATGGGCCTACTTGCTTTGGAAATTGAAACCACTGTTAAACACCAACTTTCGCGTCGATAATCAGATGCATAGTGCAACTAAGCGTAACAGGTGCAAGGATTAGATTGATTACTCAAACTTAATTTCCTCTCTCAATTACGATGCCTGAGCTACCTAGTTACGAATAAATATCACTATCTTAAGAACCAGTAGTATGAGTAAGAATATCTTTCTTAGCCCTGTAACCTCGGTCACAGTTGAATGACTAAACTAAATCATCGGATGTAACCCGAGTATGAACTTAGGGAGTTGGGGTTAAATTATTGAGAAAACAAGTAAAGATGTCTCACGCTGTGTCACGAGTGAATTAAACAAAGTAAGAGGCAACTTCGTACCTGTGAAAAATAGCTTCTGTGAAGAGCATAAAAGGCAAAGAGTAAGCTACTATCCAAACACTTGACAGCTGCTGATGAGCTGTTCCAACCTGTTGAATGTATGTGAACACAACAGAGAGAGGACCAAATATCCCGCAAGTTAGCACGTCGCCGAGCACTATGTTCTTCAGTCCTCCACCATGTAGCAAGGAAGCGAGAAAACCAGTGGCGTACAAGCCAAATTCCAGCCTGAATTCAGCCTCAGAGACAACAGCCAGACAGCAAAACACTGCTGAAGCAAGAACGTAACTCCATACCGCCCATTTTGCGTTGAGTTCAAGCGTGACTCGTCTCGTGGTAGACGAAACAAAAAACCTTCGATCTTCGGCCTCGTAGTACGAGTTCGCAAAATTCCCGGCCGCGTGAGTGAGGAAGATAACAAGAGCCGTTAGAAAACAGTTCACAACATCAAACCTGCCGTCATATTTCCAAGCAAGAACTGTCCCCAGAAGAAATGACAAAATCGAGGCTGAGAATGTCCATGGCTCCAATGATTTTATAAATATATTGAGTTTGTTTGAGTTTAAAGACATGGTCAGCTGTAAAATTTTACAGTTTAAGTCTCACGTGATGAAGCGTCAGAGAATTCGATGAAAATGGCAAGGGTCGAAAGGAACAATTTTTTTTCGTGACAATAATGGTATTTGGACGCACCTAAGGGTAAAGTCCTTTCTAGTCTACATGGATTTGACGCGAAATGTGGGTGGAAAACGTAATCAATATGCAGGACAACAATAATCTAACAAATTCCTATGCTAATATCCAGTGAATAAAAATAGCATCAGCACAACAGCAGCTGTTTACAAGGTTAAAGGTTATTTACATATGGCAATTAATCAGTCAAGACACGAGGATGATGCTTGAGAGAAGAAGAAAATTGTAAACCAGTTTTGATCCACCTTCCCTTTCGTCCAGCTTATCCCACGCATAAAGAAATTCCAAAGAAAAAATGCACTTTCGTGTTACTCAGTGTTGAAAACAGTACAGTGTATTGGCATCCATTGCCACTGGAAAATTCTGTTGAAACAGGTTAAGAATTCACAACCTTTGCGGAGAAAGAGAAGAATCTAGAAGAATAGCAAACCATCTAATACTAAGTGAAGAGTGCAGCGTGATTTGCTCATGACGTGCTCACAAAACTTACGCAACAACAGTAAGAGGACCGTTCTCTGTTTTGGTCCCACGCTATTTCAACTCAGTTACTCCTCAGTAGTGTTGCGTATGATATTGTTGTCTGGGGCTCTGTTTCCTCGGCACTTATGGAGGATATTGAACGTATTCATATGAGAGCATTTAAGATTGTCTACGAGCTACCTATGACTACTCCGACTCCTGAGATCAAGAAATTGAGACAATGGAATCCCATCTCCTCCTATTATGTAAAGACACTGCGGGTTGTGACCTACCAAATCTATCATGGTTCAAATACAGATGAATTGAACATTCTAATTTCTAAGGCAAAACCCAATTACAGCTTAAGGAATTCTTTAGATATAGAAGTGCCAAGACCAAGATCTGAAATTGGCAAATCCTCTTTTAAACACAGGGCCGCGTTGACATGGAGCCTTCTTCCACATTGGGCTTAATGCGAACAAACATTGACTAAATAGCATAAATTTAGCCAGAGGTTCCTGCTGTGTTTCAATGAAAATGATGATTTCTTATATTTTTAGATATTTATTTATTTATTATTTAGAACAATTGCATTTAAATTTATCTAATAATTATTGTATTTAAGAAGAAATTTATATCTTGCTCACCTAAACTTTAATTTTATCCTTATTTTAATGCGATAATAATGATTCAATTAGCTGTAGTTAGGCAGGTCCACATCAGGACTTTGGTCTTGCCAATTTTTAAAACCTGCATTGTTAAATAAAGATGTATGTATGTATGTAAGTAAAATATTAATTTTTCTGATAAATTGAACAGACTACAATTGAGCGTCTCAGAGAAACATTCCTTTCTTTTTTCAAATGCAAATTTATTTATTTGCCTTTTTACCTAATATATGAACAATTCATCGAGAGTTCAATGTATGGCGAGGTGATTTCCAGAAACCACCAGGCTTTCAGCTGAGGCCACCTCGTACGTAACAATGTGCTTACATATATAGTGCTACCGAGAGAGCGGCTTTGCCAATTCCGTAATTATTTTACTAAAAACTCTGGCAGCTTTTTCCCAAAATTGGAAAAACTTGACAGAGGAGTCATTGTAACAGGAAGGGGTTTCCAGATATTTGGATCTTGGTAAAAAATTGTGAATTTTTTCAGATTAGTTTGTCAATGATGAACGCGATAATTATTGGCTGTTCCGGTGCTATGGCCATGAATTTGACTGTTTGTCAAAAACAAGTTAAAAAACAATGGAGGCAACAGGTTGTTATGATAACAGTATATAAATTTAGCCATTTGAAATGTTTTGATATGATAAATGTCTAAAATTCCTGATGTAGAGAATAAACAAGCCGAATGTGCTCTAGTGTAAACTGGTGATAGCTCACACAGCCCGTTCTGCGAACAAAAAATTCTAGTTAAGTTAGTTACGTATGTAGACGACCATGTAGAGTTACAATAACCCTAACCCTAACCCTAACCCTAACCCTAGCCCAATTCCTTGCCGCTTTTACTCAGGTTTTACTCACGGGATGCTGGGAACAAGAGAACATCAATACGCACGTTTCCAATTAAAAAATACCCTAGTATCCACTGAAACGTAAAGTATTATCTGTTTCTGCTATAATGTTAAGGGTGATGTTTTGACTTAGCTTTTTGGGGCTTCTTATCTGCGGAGGGGATCTATATCTGCTAGCGGATTTAGACCGGGAGTCCAAATCTAGGAGGTGACCAAATCCGCGAGGACAACGGGACGGAGTTTAACGCCGACCACTCTAAAGAACAAAATCTCCTCGATCTCAACGATCAAAACACGCCCATTTTGGCCATACAGCTTTTCAAGATAGCTTTGGAAAGTAGTGTATAGAAATACCCCAAGTGTGCGTGTGTATTATTCATGCAGCTAATGTACGTTTGTCCTCTCCTCTTGATTTCTCCTTTTTCCAGTGATGTAACAGGATCGTTTTGGCCGCGCGATAAATGAGGACACTTTTTGGCGCCAACTCGTACTTTCAGTGCACAAATAAAATGGTCAAGAAGAATTCGCTGGGCGCTAAGGTCGATTATTTAAAATTTTGAATACAGCTATCAACCAGAAAACGCAAAAGAATGCTCGTGTCACTAGCACTTTAGGAAAAAAAAAAACATTAAAGAAGCCGTTTCAAACCTGTCACAAACCTAATACAGCCATTCAACGACCCAGACGCCTGGCATTGTTATATTTGTTTCGTTGAAAATCCACGTATAAACAATCTTTAATTTGTAATTGTTTCAAGATGGCTTCAAGAGTAGAAACTCATTACAGACGTCTCAGCCTCTACAAAATCAAAACCCCTTGTTAAAAATAAAGCTAACTAAAAGTTGACAAACTGCGAAGTTGTATTGTAGCGGACTCGGTAGGGTTTCTTCGGCAGGCTCCATTACAACGCTCCTTCCCACTCCTTGGGAGGATTGTAGAGAGGACCGAGATAACGGCTTACATCGAGCCATAGGCCTCGACAGACAATCCCGTGGTCACTGTTAGTTCAACGAGGGCACTTACGCGCCTGTACGAAGCTACCCTACTGGGTTAACGCAAGTTCAACAGTAATTATAAATACGATTTGTGAAAGTGAGATTCAGGAAATTTATTATTAGCCGCAGAACCAGTTATACTCAACCAAGATATTGATTCAAACACTTCTGCCAGACTAAACATCTTATGAAATAATCAGCCCAGTCAAATAAAGTACACCAAACATGAGATTGAGCTGAGCGGTTTTTTGAGGAATCATGGTCATATCTCCATGGAAACATTGGAACGAGAGTTGAACAGCCAGAGGAGCTGTTACCAAAGGGAACAGGAGAGTCCAAGAAGAATTTAAGGCCAGGACACACAGTACAGCATATGGACCAATCAGAAGTAAGCAGTACATGGCGCACGCGTACTGCTTGCCAAGTAGAATGGACAATGTCACAGCTCCAGCTGATTTATCACTTTCCAGGTCACGTGTGTTGTTCCTGAAGAGAAGAAACAACTAGTATGAGGAATCAAGTGAGGGGTAGGGTATAGGGCAGTGCGTTAATGTTCGATGTTGGTGATCTCTTGGTCGTTAACAGCTCCTAAATTTCAGGCCATAGCGATGGCATGATAACAGTTTTGTCAGGTATGACTTAAAGATATAACTTGAATATATCAACAAAGTTGAAATGGTAAATTGGCCACCGTAACGATTACAAAAGCTGACGTTTCGAGCGTTAGCCCTTTAAGCGAATGACTTAAAGATAGTTTGGCTGTTTGCCATTTGCCACATACACATCATGAGTGGCCGTTCACAAAGCACATGTCCCCTTCGCGTGCGCGCGTCTCGTGTTTGCCTTGCGCGTGGTACAGACAATAGGAGTCTCGTTAATGGAACATTAGCTCTATGAGATCTCTCCTGCCAAATTGTTTTTGGCGAAGCTTATAAATTAATAAAAAATAAAACCGCCTCCCGGTTAGCTCAATGGATAGAGCGCTGGACTGTTGTGCGGGAGGTCGAGGGTTCGAGCCCCGGCCGGACCAACACTCAGGGTCTTAAAATGATTGAGAAGAATTTGCTGCCTTTCTATAACATCAAGAAATGGTTAGATATTCTAGTCTTCTCGGATAGGGACGAATAAATGGAGGTCCCGTCTCCTGCAGGGTTGGGGTAGGAGACGTTAATTTCCCACACACGAGATTACTGTGTGATGGATGTCCTCCCCTGGGGTGGGATGGGTGGGAGGGTGGACTAGCACGAATGGTTCCTATGTTCCTTTCTAGTCCTTCCCCACTGCAAAACTTAATGCAGTGAAAATGGACTAAATTAAACTAAATTAAACTAAATTAAATTAAATTAAAATGAATAGTTATGTACACGACGATACAGTCATTTAGTGTATGTTCTAAAACCTTCGAGTTGAATTTGATACAACGCAAATGACCCGTGTAACTATTTACTTACCCATGTAGAATGGCTTCTGTGTTAAGTGCCAAGGGTATTGCATAGATGATAACTCCGAGTGAAATTTCACCGGTTTGATTTAAGTAACCGAACACGGTAGTCAGAGCGCCGAACGATAGTAAGATCAGGATATCACCAAGTGCCATATATTTTAAGCCGATTCCTCCAGTATAAATGAACGAACTCAGTACTCCGCATAGAAACAGAGCAATCATCGGCAGAGTGTTTCCATCTGAGCGGAGATAAACGGCAACAAAGCACATGATTCCCATTATATAGGACTCCGTAATACATGCTACAATCTCATTTGGTGAAAGCGATTTATCGATCAAAGTTTTGTCGTCAGAATCCTTTGTATCGAAACCGTTGATAAAGTCATAGTACGTGTTTACCAAATTCCCAGCGCCGTGAATAGATAAAACTGTTGCAATGGTAAAGATCGCTTGGATAATGTCGATACTATTATTTTCTTTCCACGCGAGGCAAAGTCCAAGCAAAGTGCTTGTTACGGACGCCGAGAAAGACCACGGACGTACGGCCAAAATTATACTTGTAAGCTTTTGTGACCATCGCTCGTTGCTGAAGTAATTCATGATTTGAACCTTTGAGGATTTTGACGATCAGATTTAGTATTGAAAGAAACAATGTAACAAAGAAACGATCTGTCAGAGGACCATTATCTGCTCAATTCACCATGTGGCTGAATTTGATTCGCACGTGTCTAATGATTTGATCAGCTTACACAGCTGTCAACGGAAGTAAACCTGCTGGAGCAGTATTCTGTGTAAGAGGGGAAAAGCTCCCTTAGGGAAAACTACAAAAAGTATCAGTTAGGAAATAATAGGTAATAATAAGCAGAAAAGCATGTTTCTTGCCATGAAGAATATTTAAACGTATCAGAGGAAACTAGTTCAATGGGCGTATAGTTTAAAAAATCTCAATTTGATTAGAAACCCAGGGAATTCAAACTCCTAGTGGACTCAAAAGATCAAATCTAACTCCTGATTTTATGATCTGTACCATTATTTGAGAAAATAACCAGTACGATATGTGTGATCAGTACTAAAAGTACGAATCGTACCACGGTAGTATTAACCACCATACTGCAATGAAAACAAGGCATGTTCTGAGCTGTAAGATCTAAGCGCTTGCTAATTATTTTTCTTGTTATTCACATTTCTTCATTTTGTCCGGTAATTTTCATACCTCCTCGTTAATCCTTTTTGTTTAGTTTGTTTGCGTTGTACCTTTTTTGCACGTTTCCCATACCGCACGTTATTTTGCACTCCTCTTGTATAAAAAGCCAGTTTCTTTTAGGGGTTATCATTTTTTTTTAAGCCACCTGAAGTCGTGCTTGGCGCAGTTCTTTGTTTAAAAGTCTACAAGTTATTCGTTATTGCAGTTTTATAGTAGGCGTTATCAATTTGTAACCAACTACTACTACTACTACTACTGTTTCTCTGTAAATAAATATTTCGAGTTATAAAGATAATGCTTTCGCAGTTATATGAGCCTCTGCGGAAATTTCAGCATTTTACCTCCTAAGGTGGCCTAGATTCATTTGAACCTCAACCTTAACTTTGTAGTTTTATAGGAAGTGGCATACATAACCCGATAACTGAGGTTTTCGTTTCATTGGTCGTGAAGTGCAATCCATCTCACCGTAGATCAGAAATTCAATCTCATATTTTTCTAGTCTTCTCGGATAGGGACGAATAAATGGAGGTCCCTTCTCCTGCAGGGTTGGGGTAGGAGACGTTAATTTCCCACACACGAGATTACTGTGTGATGGATGTCCTCCCCTGGGGTGGGATGGGTGGGATATTGGGCGCACTTAATTTGGAGCCTCGCTCTATTGTGAGACCCTCACCATACTCTGGTGAAAGTGATTAAATATAATATAAATATAAACGCACTCTAGAAAACATCTATCGCTTTGCTGCATTTAAAAATGTGGATTATGAGCGTTAATTCACTTAGTAGATGTTATTTGCCGTCCTGCTGAAGGCCATTGGCTCCATTATACATGGAGAGTCAGTTTTACGCATGGACCGTCTCTGTGGAGCACGCGTGACTCCGTAGGACAGGGAGAGAATTAAACCATGGTTGGTGTTTGAATAATTACCTCCTGAAACGGAGGAAAGTCATCTTACGTTCTAATTCGCTGCGCTCAGACGAACGTAAATTATTTTCTCCTTAAATACTATAGAAATACAACACCAAAGGAATGATGGTTGGATGCTCAGGCAATCCAAGCTGACATTTATTCATACAATTGACCAAATTACACCATCTTGAGAACTTGACGATTTCTTTTGTATGCCTTTTAACTGTGGAATCCACCTTAGACTTCATTAAAAGGGTCAGAAGATCTTTGGTGTTTGGTTTCACGTGGTCGGGGATGTTGTCCCAATAACCTTGAGTGGTAAACATCTGATGAAAACAAAAGAAGACAAGACAAAAGAGAACGGAAAACATTTAAAAGAAACGCCGCAAACCAAAAAAAAAGATTCAAAGCAACAACCGGTCTCCCTCCGAAAACAGGCCAGCGCCACCTTTCTATCATATGCACAAGCGTTCTACTACCACATAAACTACCTCAGAATATAAGCTGGAGACGATAAAGTGTTCTCCTAATCCGAGGCCAGCGCCCTCTTCTCGATGTATAATCGGACAAGCGTCCTTACACCAAACAAATCTCAACTAAATCATTACTGATCCTCCTAAGAGCTACAGGAACCCGGTGGTCAAGCAATCGAAACTTCATACGGACCGCTAACATTTGTCCAAAAAATCTCTTAGAGCCTAACAACGAATTGGTGTCCCAACCTTCTTCAGAACAGTCCTTCCGCTGAACAACTTATAATCTATCACAAAACTAAAAAGAAATTTTCTGGCAATGATAGGCCAAAAATACGACTTAGGCCAGAATGGTACGACTAAAGTAGCCACAGCCTTGGATATGTACAAATAGTTAATTGTTCTATGGATTAGATTTACCTGGGGCACAACGAGGCAATCTTCCCCTGTCAGATTCTGAACGAAGAAATCCACTCCGCTACAACCTGGATTCCAAAATCTTGAATAAAACTTCTTGATTTTCTTATTATAGAAATTGGCAAAACAGTCCACTGTATGTCGCCCCCAAGTATAATCCAGGAATTCAAAAAAGGAAGTTGTGATTTGCCAATCATCTACATCAATAATACGACTAATGAAGTCCGCCCTATCAAGCTTAGTTCGGGGAATCCATTGTACTTCCAATTCGATTTCATTATCGACGCAAAACTGAAAAATCTTAAGGGCTATAACGTGTAGATCTTTCCTCATGCTTCCAACTTGGATAGTTCTACAAGCATTTTGACTGTCAGAAAACCATTTGACGTAAGCGCCTTTAATGATGAAAATAACGAAAACTGACAATTTCGGGCGGGTGGGGCTACAACTTCGATGTCAGCGTGGAAAGCGAGAGTGAGAGGACTAATTCACCCTGAACCGTCTATAAATACTGAAACCACACCAATCAGGAATACCCAGGAGACACGCCCCAAATGGCGTTGAATAGAATCAACAATGAAACAGACTGTTAATGAACTGTAAACTCCGTATAACAGCAGAAAATATATAAGTTCACACGCTAGAGAAAATCGACAGGAAAGCATACTAGAAACAACTAAGGAAACAATTACTTATCACGTTGGTCTTCAAGTTAAAGAAAGACTATCATCAAAATAAAAGTTCTGCCGACTGTCGTTGGTAGGGTCAACTGAGGAGTTGCACAGGACTAATCTGCAGGTCCAACATGAATTTTAGAATACGTCGGTTTAGGGGACTGAACAAAGGACTCAACTAGCTCTACAGAACCCTTCATACGTTGACCCGAGGATATTTCGAGAAATTTGGTAAAAACTATAAAAAATTTAGGTTTCGATGACGCGAATCATATTTCTATCAATACAAGTAGAACACAGCTTGTGCAACAACTAAAAGCAACATGAAAGATGTAATTAAAGTGAAAAAAAGATGTGTTTGTGACTGTTTCAATTCATGGTCCATCGAGCATAACTTGATTCTCTGTTGATTCTACAGAACTAACGCAACAGAGTGAGAACAAATAAAGAGGATTGTAATAACCGTGACAAACAACGTGACAAGCTATTATCCAAGTCGTCAGCGAGTTGAATTTGCATCAGTTATTTTGCATATCGCTTTGATGGTGTGTGATTGACGAGCTAGCTTTCCGTCTGAAAACTTTAGAAGCTAGAGCCTTGCAAAGGTACGATTCGAAGTAACGAAAATGGCAAAGATTATCACTGTTTTTGGAGCTACTGGAGGGCAAGGTGGCGGAGTGGTTTCCGCGCTGCTAAAAGCAATTGCCAGAGGAGAACCTTACGCTGTCCGTGCCGTGACTAGGAAGCCAGATGGAGATAAGGCTAAAAAACTGAAGAGTCGAGGCTGTGAGATTGTGGTATGTGATTTGGACGACAAAGGATCCGTGGAGCAGGCAATCAAAGGCTCATATGGAGTTTTCCTGGTGACAAACTACTGGGAACATTTTAGTATGGAGAAAGAAGTAGAACAAGGTAAACGAGTCATCGACGTCTGCGAAGCGCTTGGAGTGAAGCATTTGATTTACAGTGGGCTGGAAAATGTGAAGAAAGCGATTGGTATTGAGTGTGGTGAGTAATAAATATTGTGTTTCAGTTTCATTTCGTGACCCAGCTGAGCACAGTGAAGTTGTGATTAATACAATTATCAACCGAGCGAACAGGGTGGTGCTCCGCTAGACTCGTTTTTGCAAAAGTATTACGTTACCTGCAGGTAAATGTCGCTTGAAGTTATAATCTGTTTCAAAATTCCACGGAACGGAGCGAGGAACTATAGTATACCAGCAAAACAACCGAGAGAATTAATTCGGATCGGTAATGAGGTAATCGGTTATGAGCATGCAAAAATGTACAGAATCTGCTTAGTCATGGTTCAAGAAATGGGTCCCGAATTTTATTTTTACTTAAGTTTTTTTGATTGGTATGACATATCAAACACCTTTGACAACCTATTTTTATTATTAAATTTTTTTAGTTCAAGATGATTCGTTTGGCTAAGTAACGTTTCCTAAGAGTATTTGCCAAAACCTTGAAGATGCAAATTAAATCGAACTTGGTGTTAACTCGACGCATCCTGCGCTCGCAAACACTGTATCGGCTGATAGACTTGTCATTAATCGATGGCTCACAGGACTGGGCAGAAAAGAGAGGTGGTTTGTTTGGTTCTTTCTTGCTTTTGTTTTCTTCGGCCTTCCAATAGAGGTTTGATTTGAAACTGAAAACGTGTACTTTCCTTGATGATTTACAAACGTATATGATTGTATGTTGAACATATATAATCAATATTTCATGAGAAAATAAACATTGAGCCCTCCCGCTAGACCTGAATCGACACATAACGGTGCTGTACAAAGCTAGAGTGAGGCGGGCGCTGAACAAAAAAAAACAAAAAACAAAAAAAAACAGAAAAACGGCACGACGCCTGAAATCTTCTGACGATGTAAAACGTCGAATTAAGTTTTTTTTTCTCAAACAAACCTCCCGATGTAAGCACTCTCTGCTTGCTATTGTCGTTTCCTTCTCTACCACACGACGACTGCGTTCTAGTTGGTCATAATCTTCAAGGGCTTCGGAATGCAACTGATAGCGATAACCTAGTCGTCATTGAATAATCACAATATAATCATAATTTGCTCCTTCTTCTTCTTCTTCAGCTCATTTTGATGGTAAAGGTATGGTTGAAGAATACCTCCACACCAAAAAGCTCAAAGAACGCTTGCCATTTACCATAGTACGCTTCCCGTTCTATTATAACAACCTGGTGTCGTTCTTCACGCCTCGGAAAAAGGACGATGGTACTTTACTATACGATATTCCAATGGAAGGTGTTGCCATGGATGGAATAGACGTCACACAAGGCGGAGAATGTGTGTACGGTAAGATAATTCTTTTATTCATTACTATCTCTTTTCATTCACTACTCGCGTTCTTGCAGTTTGATTTTGTTTCCATTATTTTTGTCAAAGGCGTCTTGGAGAGCCCGGACTGTTACCGTTTCAAAACCATTGGTCTGAGTGGAGACAAGATCACAATCCAGCAGTATTGTGAAACGCTGACCAAACATCTTGAGGATAAGGGCTTAAAATTTGAGGTGAGCTGAGATTTCAGTCTGCTATGACATAAAAGAAGATTCAGCGGTAAAATTCGTAGGATTCTCTTGTGTATTGGTGCATTGTGTACCTATTAAAGAAATGGTCAGGAAAATAAATGTTATGCGGAACACTATTCACGGGATCAAACCCTAATCCAAGTTCATCTAAGAAAAGGCATAACATCTCGCAAGGAAACGGAACCCATTTCTTGCAACGAGTCCGACTGCCTGCTTTTAATCGCGCGCGCCTGTTAAGACATGGCTTCGGTACTCAGAGGCACTCAAACTAGATTAATTACTCCTTAATTTTTAAGTCTAGCAAAGTGGCAGTGTATTTTTTTCGAAAAAAAGCGATCGCTGCAATGAAAGCAATTAAAGCTCATTTAAATGTCCATTGGATATCCCAAGGCAGTATGTTAAGACTTCTACACGTTTTCAGTCATATGACCTTTAAATGTGATTTACACTGCACTGTCGTTTGTATTTCAAACCCCTCCATAAACATGTGCGATGTTTACCAAGATTCAAAGGGTAATATTCTTAAATTGATCCAGCATGTTTGTTTCTGCATGGCTGCTGCTATGTAGATTGTCCTTTGCAACAAATGAAATCGCAAGTTTGGCTCTGAGTGTCAGAGTTCGGGCATATTATAGACATTATAGAAAGGCCTCACAAAGCGATACTTTTTTCAGGACTCAAAGATTACGTTAGATGAGTACAGAGCTCAGCCTGACAATCCCGCCGCTATTGAACTTGGAAACATGTTCGAATTCTATAAACGAGGGAACCCAGACCGCGACATTAAATTGACCAAGAAGCTGAATGAAGAAACTCAGAGGTTTGACGTGTGGGTGAGAGAAAACAAAGCTATGCTGGAGGAGGCTTTCACCAAGGAACGGTGAATCAGGATGATTGGACAGATGGGATCTGCCGGTTATGTTCCCTATAATCAGTTTCGTTTGCACAGTGATAGACAATCCCTTCTGTCCGATGATTTAGACCTAAAGTAAACGGGAAATGTATACGCAAGATAACCCAACGTACCAGTTGAATCGTGAAAAGGTCCTTCACCTGCCGCTTGAAATTTTTATTGATTAGCTTGCAGTATTGCTAACAAGATTTACCATCACCCATATCTACAACCTAGTCTTCAAATAAAGGATACACATTTTAAAGTATTGGCTTTGATTTCTTCATATTGTATTTTTTTTTCTAACTGCCATTAACAGGAATAGTAAACTTTTAAGTACTTTCTGTTCCCACATGGAGCCTGAAAAAACTTGTTCCAAGGTCGTACCAGACAAAAGAACTTTCCTTCGCACCATCTTTTTAGAACACGGACAGCCTTTTGCGAGGAACAAGTGTTTTTATAAGTGGTTCCACAAGCTCTGTCACCCTCAATGTACCCATAGTGAACCCAGTGAACTCGGATCCGTCTAAAAAGACCACACTTGATTACTCTGGCCATATTGTTTTCGCACAAGACCAAACGTCTTCCTGATAAAAGAAAAAAGAAACCACCAATGAAATCATTCTTGTTTTAGATTTTGTTGAATCAAAAAGAAAATTGACTTGTACTGTGGATGTCCTGCAGTTGCCATTCAAATTATTTTTATTTCAAACTTGTGACTTCAAACCTCTCATTGCTTAATCAATCTTTCCTGTCAGTAGTACAGGAAAAATAACGTAGAGGAGGCGGCGTGGCCGAGTAGTTAGGGTGCTGGACTTGTAATCCGGTGTCCCGTGTTCAAGTCCTCCACCCTGCCACTCACTGGATTTGTTCTCGGTTGCCCCTAGTCAGTCAACTCCTTGGCTGTGCGTTGTAAATAGCCCACTGGTCTGCCTCCTGCCGGTGGGGATTTTCAAGTACTTAGTCTACATTGTGACTGAAACGCCACTATGGGGGAGCTTCAATTAACGTATTTATTTTATTTATTTACACGCTTTTAATAATGTAAGTCTCTATAATGAAAATGTTTCAGCGAAGAACGATATAAAACAATTCACTTCAAAGTTCCCAATACATAGACAGTATGTTTTCTAGTCCTTTTTTTCCCACAATATTGACTGAAAACATGACAACTTCGCGTGCGTTCTGATGCTCGACATTCCTTCGGTTCTGGAAAATGTGTGCAAACTTGAACTGGGTTTGAGACTCCGCAGTCGAAAAACGTAGAGCTCGCGAGCAAAATGCTCTGTATCTTGGCTCGTTCCTTATAGGTAACCTGAACTAGTTGAAAGAAAATCCAACATACCGCTGGGGCATGAATGCGTGTTACAACTCCGGGACCTCGAGCCTTGTCCGACACATGGCTTCCCAGAATGCTGTGGGGGAGGGTGAGTACACGTCCTATATCTGAGCTGAGTGCCTCCACCACAAGTCCGTTCACATCTGCTCCAATTGTTCCATGGGCTCCAACCACCGTGAACTGCGTGAATAGCAATTACAACTATTACTACACAAACATAATCTTCGATTTCCGCCGGAAACGGTCGCCAAGTGGCCATGTTGTGATCTTATGAGGTTATTAAATCTGATAAGGATCCCGGACTGATATAAGCCGTCTTCTTCTTTCTTCTTACCCCTTTAATTTACTTATTCGCCATTTCGTTCATCCCAGTAATAAATTTTAAAATGACTGTACCTGGACAGGGCGTTAAGTTGCAGCTTCGTGTTACCATGGATACCCCTATACAGTCAGTGCCATCATGTGCCGGAGAGGGATTATTACAGCTGCGTTTACGTCTCTGGACGCCACCTCTACAGCTTACAGAGCATGCGCTCCAGGCTTGCCAAGAGCCCCACTGACCATTCACTGTGTAAACCAAAGCTCAGGATCTAAATTTCTTACTTACGTTGTAACTGAAGTAATACAAATAGGATTATGAATTATATTCTTTTCATTGAAGCTGAGTGAATTATGTGTGATGAAACTAAGAAGGGGCTGGTCTGTTCTTTTCTGAGAAAATATTCTAGGTAGATGGTAGCTAACAAGAGAATTATCAAAGGTTTTACAGTCATTTAATCATCCCTCAGTCTAAGTTTTCGGTTTCGTTACAAATGAAGCTCCTATTATTATATCATGCTCAAAAATGCTCAACTACACTTTTCAACTTCAGCCTAGTTTTAGATCATTACATTCTTAATACTTTACTGCCAGAGGTTGGGCAAAAAAGAGCAGCATTATCTAATATATAAACCTGGGCAGAATTGTAAACTGCAAGTCCGGACTTCACTGGCATTCCCTTTACATGGGTCACCATCGTTTACTGGGGCTGGGTTTTTACATTCACGCATGCGCCTCTGTAAACCATCATCGCGCGTTTTTGAACAGGAAGACCACGCAGACCAGGGCGACCAATTTCCATTCACTGAGAAAGCAAATACATCGTAACAGTGGGCGAAAGAGACAAATAAATAACAAAATGGTGGCTGAAAGTGTAGTGTCTTCCCACAACCAACCTGGGCATTCCTTAACATTACATCCCTTAGTTTCCTTGGCAACCCCCTGACAGGGCTTTCCACTATTTGCTGGCGCTGGATTTGTGCATCTACGTTTGCGCGTCTGAAGATCACCACCACATGTCTTGGAACAGGGAACCCATGAAGACCAAGCAGACCAATTACCGTCCACTAAACAAAGATTTAAACAGCAATGTGAGTTAATTCATCCGATTACTAATCAACTGCGAAGCTGTTTACAGATGTTCTGTGAGTGTTTCAATTCCTGACTTCAATCCGATAATCACTATCAAAGAACGTTATCACTGAAACTTAAGTTTTATGTCCATTGTATTCAAACCTGGGCATAACTTAAGAAGGCATTTCTTGGTTTCTATGGCCTCTCCCATGCAGGCTTTTCCACCATTTGCCGGTACTGGATCTGAGCATTCACGCATGCGTTTTTGAAAGCCTCCGTCACATGTCTTCGAACAGGGACCCCACGAGGACCAGGGAGACCAGTTACCGTTCACTAAACAAAGATGAGGAGCTAATTAGTATTCAGTCCATTAATCGGTCAACTGTGAGGCTGTTCTGTGAGTGTCTGAATTCCTGTCAATTTAATAATCAGGAGCAAAGAATCCTATCACCTCAACTTTTAAGTTTTTAATTCAAACCTGGGCATAATTTTAGAAGGCATTTCTTGCTTTCTATGGCCTCTCCCATGCAGACTTTTCCACCATTGGTTGGTGCTGGATCTGAGCATTCACGCATGCGTTTCTGAAAGCCTTCATCGCATGTCTTCGAACAGGAACCCCACAAGGACCAGGGAGACCAGTTGCCGTTCACTAAATACGAAGATGATATATGAAAAGGGAATATCTTGGTAAGCAGCGCTGTGAGTATAGGATAACTTAAAACTACTATTTGTGGTTTAACCTGACTCAATTCGAACCTGGACATAATAGTGAAATGCATGCTTTAGTTTCCATGAAAACTCCTTGGCAGGGCTCGCCGCTATTTGCCGGCGCTGGATTTGTGCAACCACGTGTGCGCTTCTGGAAACCTTCATCACATGTTTTTGAACAAGGAGACCACTTAGACCAGGCCGACCAGTTACCATTCACTATCGAGATGGACGAAAAAAGTTAAAACAGACAATAAGTCATTGCAACAATGCAATTTTGGGAATCGGGGGGAAGGCCTAGAAAATAAAGTCACTTTGGTCAAAATAATACCTGTGTGAGGTTATTAAAGCATCACAGCCGTAAGCCGTTAGGTGCGCGCCGATCGTTTGGTCAGTGAGTGAGTGAGGGAAAAATTAATCCACCGCCAGTGCAACATCATTTATTTTTAACCCCGTATGTTCCTAAAGTTACAGCTTGTGTTGCTTGGAAGGACTTTAATCTTCGCTCTTTTTACTGGGTAGAAACCTTAACAAATCTAAAGAAGATTTAAATTATAACCCTTGGTAATCCCTTCTTTTATTTATGGGGGTTGTTTGTTTGTTTGTCGTCAAGATAACTAAGCTCATCCGAAAGGTAATAACACGCTCTTCTCTTATCATTTACCCCTTGCTAGTTTTTCTTTTCAGTATAACTCTTGGATTTGTTGCTGTATAATTCACTCCTTCATATCTACCTACCTGGCTTGAGTTTATAAACGAAGCTTGTGTAAAGCTTTCCAACTCCGTAGTTATCTATATCAACCCTACAGTTGCGGGATTTACCAGATATGTCGTAGGTAAGTGATGCATTCGTTCCTATTCGAGAAAGAAATTATTATTTTGTATACACTGTATCTTTTTTTTCAATCGGTTTTGTTGGCATCTTTATATCTCAAATAAGAATATCCGATCCAACAGGTTAGAATGTAATTGTCAACGGAAGAAGAGTTTATCACCATTCGCATTAACTGCCTATTTTGCATGTCTCCACTCAGTCATGGAAAAAATTATCGCATACTGTGAATGCTTTACAAGTTCTCCTCATTCTCCCCTTCCCCTCTCCTCTGAGCACTGAAATATTCGAAAAAAAAACACCAGGAAAAGAAATTCATCTGAGCGAGGTAGCAATTCAGTATCTGGCAAATATCCTTGTATTTGATAGTCTATAATAGGTTCAGTTTTATTAAATTCCAGGCTTTTGTACTAAAAGCATTCATACAGTATTCATCAAAGCTTGGCGACAATCAGTTCAGGAGGAAACCGATGATAAGCACATTGAATTTCAGTGAGTTTTTGTTTTTTTCATATATATAGTTCCTCCTTCTAGAAGCCCCTAGTAACCCTTTTCGAACGCTGACTGTAGCAGAGAGATAACTTATAAATAATGTGCTTTGTTAAAGATTATGGTGAGATTGATTTAAACTACACATGCCTGCACTCTGAAAACCGCTGTTATTTTACCTATATTTCTGTCAGATCTGCTGCATCCTCTAACCCTCTTAGGTCAGAGTATATAATTAGTTTCAAACACACACAATTGTTCCAGTTGAAAATGAAAGTTACCTCCCCAACATTCATGTTGATATTGTATACCAAAGCATGAGTAATTCCTTTTTTCCGCTTGTTTACTGCAAGCCTCTACCAGTGGTTTTAGGTTTGGCCAGAGTTCATTAACATCCAGGTCGGCTGGGGTGTAGAAATGGACAGGAAGAGCAGCGTGATCAAAGTTATTGTAACATCCAATGGCTTCCCAGTCATCAACTGCAGGCCAGCACATCAGTGACGAACAGCAGGCGTTGAAAAAAGATGAAATTCCGGTAGGTCTAGGCATGTAGTGGGTATTTAAGAAATACTGGAAGAGCTTTAGAAAACTTTGGTGTCTTCTGAATTGCAAGCGGATCGATTTTACAGAATTTGCCCAGACGATTAAACGCGTCCGCTTTTAACAAATTTTTGGCGTTTATTCAAGGGCGGCGTTGATTCATGAGGCGGCGTAGATTTCAAAATCATATATCTTAATTACCAACAAAAATTACTGTCAACAAATTGCAATTATCATATGACCTGTACAGCGCTGCTCACGCAATCTTCCAAAACGACAGTACGCTCTTCCGAGCGAGCAGATATCTTCCGTTTCTAGAAAGATGGAAGAACGTGCTTGCAAGGAGAAAGTAAGCAACAAGCAGATATTTTTTTTCATATATATCTTAATTTTTTCCTGCACTTGAATTGAAAATAGCTACTTCCCTTTTACTGTCTATTTATTCTTTCCTTCTTTTTTTTTTCTATTTTTTTCTGTCAAATACCCCGTGCATGACCAATCAAGGTCATTGAATAGTCAGTAATAAGTTTAATAAAGTCTCAAGCAGTCATTCTGTTTTTGCTTTCTCGCTGAAATACAAATTTTGGTAAAATGATCACAAAATGTATCAGAAACCCGTGTTTTGTCAGGTTGAAAATCATGACACGAAGGAAAATATTGGTGTAAGATTAGTAAAGAGAAGTGACATAATCGTCATTCAATTCACGTCTGCCAATCAAATCTGTATCCAGTTCATTTCAGAAAGATAACAAATCCAAGGTTTTAAATGGATCTTTTTTTTTTAGGCATCTGTTTACATCAATTTTCCTGTGTCTTTCATCACGGTAGTCAATACATAAAAAAGTATGGACGAATTTATCTCACCTGAACTCACAGATAAACGGACCAGTGTGCAAATATTGATCACAAATAGAAACATGTTGGCCTCGTGCAGGGTCCGTGCAGGGTAACGTTAAACGTTTTCGGTTCCTCAGACCTTTGCTTGTGAGATGAACTTTATATCTAAAAAATGTACTTATTAACAGCCATTAGTAAGTTAAGAACTAGATGGTTTTTTTCTGGTAGAGTATGCCCATGAACTCATTTAAAATGCAGGGAGAAATCTTCCTGTCTAATGCAAATGACAAGTATATGGGACAATTCTTTGCCGCTAGTCGTATTTTTATGATTTGATGTAATAATCACAAAACAAAGTGATTTGACTCACAAATCATTCCATCCTCCACTGTGGTATGAATTTTGTCTCCTGAAATGACAATAAAAATCACACTTACCAGTTTTGTGTTCTTTCCTGAAGAAGTGATTGCTCTGAATGATATTGCCTTATATTTACTTATCAATGCAAAATATAGTATTGTTTGATCATCTAGTTTGCTAATCATTAAACTTACCGGTATTTCTCTTTCTTGATTCTATCATTTTAAATAACATTGTACTAGTAAGTGAAAAAGGCCCGAGAAGGGGTCCGTCTCAAAGCAAAATTGTATCGTCACCCATATTTACAACCTAGCCTTCGGATAAAGGAAACACATTTTAGAATACTGGCTTTGATTTCTTCATATTGTATTTTTTTTTTTCTTGTCGCCATTAACAGGAGTAGTAAAATTTTAATGCACTGGAGAGGGATTTTCACAGCTATGTTTACGTCTCTGGACGCCACATCGCAAAGAATGCCTATTGTTCTCGCGACATTTACTTGCAGTAGCGAAAAAATTATAGATCCGTAATATTAGCGGCGAAAGGTATTCTGGAGAGCTTTGATTCGTCAAAGATTACGCGCACATTCCTCCTCAGGCAATCATCGAATATTGCTTGAGCTCATCAACTTGTCAAGGCGGAACTACGAAACAATAGCTTAGAAAGTTCTTGTTTATGCTCAGGCGGTGTGCGCACTCCGATTGCATTGCATTGTGGTAGCGTTATTTTCAATATGGCGGTAAAAGCGGCAGAAATGGGTAGAGTTTGACTGAAAATTCCGTAAAAGTTAGGCCGTTTCTTTTTCCTTTCACTATAGCTAAATATAATTCGGTATATTCTGAACGTGTAGAAGTATTTTTCGTGCGTATTTGTCACATATTATATCGTTCTCAAGGACAAACGCAAGCACTGTATTTTAGCATGTAATTTGAGACCGGTTTTCGAGCAGGTCAAATTCGTTGTACGTCGTAGTTTGAAGCCTTTCATAGATTTGTATGGCCACTTTGATCCTTCTTCAATAGCTCTGACCAGACGCGCTCAAACAGGCTCTAACGGTACAAATGTTTTAGACATTTTAAGTAATAGTGTTTGAGACCCTTTTGTGGAGCGAAAAGGCCCGTTGTTGTGTTTAGTGTGTTGCGTTACATAGCGTTACTACTGCCAGAGCATTTATCAATCCTGTTGTAAATGTACTTTCCCAAGTGAAGGAAAATTATATAATCGCGAGTGTTATGTGGTAAATCTTCTATCTTGACCATTGAATGAAGGACAATTTAATTAGAACAATGAAAAGAGTCACTTGATCCATGAACACCTCTACCTTGCGTGAGACGACACATCGGAAAGCCGGAGAGCCGGAAAGCAAAAGGCAGTCGACCGTTGAAAGGTGTTGCTAGACCTGTGCGTCTCCTACCATTCGCTAGCGCTTTTAAATCTTCTACCCTCAAAGTTTAGCTCTTACAAGGATATCTTTTGATGACTTTCCTTTACGTTGTGATAATAAGGGTCAGTTTTGAGGTGTCATAATTCTCCATCTGTATGATCTTGAGGTTTGGCAAAGCCGGATGAGATTGTGTTACAAAAGGCAATATTTTCTTCTGTGCGCGCGCTATTTTCTTTGTTTCAAAGTATACTTCTCTCCTGAAATAATAACTCCAGAGATACGTTTCTCAAAACCTTCATATAGGTTTCCTCTATTCTCGAAGGGTATTTTGAAACACTGTAAGTTTTTACTAAACGTGGAGCGCAACAAATTCGTTCTTAGGAGGCGTGGGGCTTCTCCTTTAACAAATCCCGTATTTACGCTCGGTGGAAAAAGTTCGTGCATTACAAGGTCTCTGTCTCTCTAACTGATGCGTTTGCATGTCAAGGGTCAATTCACAGTTGAATAACTCGCGTTTAGGAATATAATTACTGACTCTGAAATTATTCATCCCGCCATTGGTTGTGAGTGTAATTGTTGCCATTTGTGTCGAGATTCTTAGGCAAATTGCAGTTTCGAATCTTTCTAAATAACGTCAGTTGCCTCCTAAGAACGAATTGGTGACGGAGGAATGACAGGAGTCGCGCAGGCCCGTCAAACGTTTTAACTTTCGAAGGGATAGCAACAGACAGCGAATCCCCTGACAATCCACATATATTGACGCCGTATCTCGCTGCCCCCCCAAAGATGTTCACTCCAACGCTTCAAGATGCAAATGACTTAATTTTTGTTTTACGACTATGATGAAACATAATCAGAATCCGCACACCGCCTGGTTTATGCTATTGTTTAGAAGAATATCGTGCGTGTGTTACAACCAGGAGTAGCGCTCGATTTTGAAACCATCCGTTACATATTCATCTCTTTCTCCATCTTACCCAACAAACACTTTGGTTCTATCATTACCCGTTTAGAATTTGATTTTCATTGGAAAAATCCACGCTGGTCGGTGCCCGTGCGGGTTCTCTTTGTCTGCGTGTTGCAAGCTTTTAGTTCGCATTTTTCCTTTGGAGAGGAAACGACTGCTACACAGGCCAGGGTAGCAAAGAAATATTGTCCTACGTTAGACATTGTCTCAGACTTCTGTTCACGCGCTTTATATGCCCTTGTATTCTTTTTCTTTACTAGGCAAAGGTAAAGTCCTCTGTCATTCCCGGTTAGCTCAATGGATAGAGCGCTGGACTGTTGTGCGGGAGGTCGAGGGTTCGAGTCCCGGCCGGACCAACACTCGAGGTCTTACTTTTCTTCGATTGTGGTCCGAAGGTCTTTGTTTTCTTCTGTCACCTTGCCAATACATCTCTTGTTGATGGCGCGATCTCCTCGGGGTTGATCGTGATTTTCACCCCCGTCTCAGCTCGCAATTTTGTCTCTGATTGCCGCTTGTAATGGAGTTCATTTTTTGTTTGAATCGTCTTACATTTTCGCCAACTGTGCGTTCCACGCGATCGCAGGAGGATTCAGTCAGCTTGTAGCCGAGTGGAAAGATACTCGCTTGGAGTGAATCGAATACTCTACGAGGCAGCCAGTAAACTCCCTCCATTTCCAAGCAGCTTTACCGCTTATTTGAATAACATATCGTGGATTGCTTTCTTCAAGAAAAGGCGGAACTACATGTAGAAGAACAGGGTCGATCGGGGGTTCTGAGAGCTCCGGGAAAGAGCTCCCGATCACGGTCATTTTCGCTTTGATCATTCATCACCCCTGGTCTAATGGTATAAAGCAGCTGATGCAGTGAGATCATTTTTAAAACTCGCGGTAAATTGTCTTTTTTACAAAGGAATATTTTTCTTGAATAGGCCATTATTTGGTTTGACAGTCATTGTTATTCACGCGTGGGCCGAAAACAATACAGTATTTGAAACGCGCCATTTTCGAAAGGATCTTCGACTGAAAATTTTAAAACTGTGAAGCAATGGTGGTTATCGTCCGCCAATTTTCAAAGTTAAAACGGATTCTTAAAAATCGAGTTTCCAGATGGGATTTCAACCCACGACCCTCCGTGATCTAGTCGGATGCTCTAACCACTGAGCTAAAGGAGACTCTATGGTGAGCAAGGGTCAATTAGTGGGTATTGACTGGAACCGCATCACGCGGCTACACAGCCAAACATCAGCTAGCGCATAGAAGCTCACTAACAGCATCACGCTGTCACATTAAAGCATCACATGCATTAAAGCATCACATGCAGCCAACCAGCCTCCAAAGTGAGCATGTAAAGATGAAATAAACAATTTTTAAAAATCGAGTTTCCAGATGGGATTTGAACCCACGACCCTCCGTGATCTAGTCGGATGCTCTAACCACTGAGCTACAGGAGACTCTATGGTGAGCAAGGGTCAATTAGTGGGTATTGACTGGAACCGCATCACGCGGCTACACAGCCAAACATCAGCTAGCGCATAGAAGCTCACTAACAGCATCACGCTGTCACATTAAAGCATCACATGCATTAAAGCATCACATGCAGCCAACCAGCCTCCAAAGTGAGAATGTAAAGATGAAATAATAAATAAATAATCACTTTGGAGGCTGGTTGGCTGCATGTGATGCTTTAATGCATGTAATGCTTTAATGTGACAGCGTGATGCTGTTAGTGAGCTTCTATGCGCTAGCTGATGTTTGGCTGTGTAGCCGCGTGATGCGGTTCCAGTCAATACCCACTAATTGACCCTTGCTCACCATAGAGTCTCCTGTAGCTCAGTGGTTAGAGCATCCGACTAGATCACGGAGGGTCGTGGGTTCAAATCCCATCTGGAAACTCGATTTTTAAAAATTGTTTATTTCATCTTTACATGCTCACTTTGGAGGCTGGTTGGCTGCATGTGATGCTTTAATGCATGTGATGCTTTAATGTGACAGCGTGATGCTGTTAGTGAGCTTCTATGCGCTAGCTGATGTTTGGCTGTGTAGCCGCGTGATGCGGTTCCAGTCAATACCCACTAATTGACCCTTGCTCACCATAGAGTCTCCTGTAGCTCAGTGGTTAGAGCATCCGACTAGATCACGGAGGGTCGTGGGTTCAAATCCCATCTGGAAACTCGATTTTTAAAAATTGTTTATTTCATCTTTACATGCTCACTTTGGAGGCTGGTTGGCTGCATGTGATGCTTTAATGCATGTGATGCTTTAATGTGACAGCGTGATGCTGTTAGTGAGCTTCTATGCGCTAGCTGATGTTTGGCTGTGTAGCCGCGTGATGCGGTTCCAGTCAATACCCACTAATTGACCCTTGCTCACCATAGAGTCTCCTGTAGCTCAGTGGTTAGAGCATCCGACTAGATCACGGAGGGTCGTGGGTTCAAATCCCATCTGGAAACTCGATTTTTAAAAATTGTTTATTTCATCTTTACATGCTCACTTTGGAGGCTGGTTGGCTGCATGTGATGCTTTAATGCATGTGATGCTTTAATGTGACAGCGTGATGCTGTTAGTGAGCTTCTATACGCTAGCTGATGTTTGGCTGTGTAGCTGCGTGATGCGGTTCCAGTCAATACCCACTAATTGACCCTTGCTCACCATAGAGTCTCCTGTAGCTCAGTGGTTAGAGCATCCGACTAGATCACGGAGGGTCGTGGGTTCAAATCCCATCTGGAAACTCAAATAGTCATTCAGTTCTTTGTGACTA